GCCTCCCAAGGAGGCCTCACGCGAAGGCGTGGTGCCGGAGGCGCCACGTCGCCCAACGGAGACGACGAGTCCTCAAGCCGGGTCACTTCGCCTGTCCCCAAACAATACAACGATCGTTCTCCTGAAACCGCCTACGAATCCAGCGAGAATGGCCACCGGATCGCCTATGACCCCCGAGACATCAGCGAGAGCGCAGAACGCAGTAAACAACCCAAGCTGACTTTGATGGAGGAGGTCCTACTACTTGGTCTTAAGGATAAGCAGGTAACCAAGACCCAGAAGAATCCAAGAGTCGAGGCATCCTGACTGACATCCCCAGGGATACCTGTCATTCTGGAACGATAATATCTCCTATGCCTTACGAGGCTGCATAGTCATCGAGCTGGCGTTCCGAGGGAGGATCAGCATGCAGAAAGACTCGTCGAGAAGACGGTTCCCTCTTGCGGACAGAATCATTGAGGTCATAGACGACACCCTCACTGGGGAAGTCTTATTAGACGAAGCTCTGAAAATGATGAAGACCAGTGAGAAGATGAGTGTCAGTTCCTGGATAGATCTCATGAGTGGTAAGTCGGGAAGCCTGCTCGGGGATGCCCATTACACCACTGACGGTCCCTCGATAGGGGAGACGTGGAATCTCATGAAAATCGGCTACCAATTAAAACAAGTCCGCGAACGGTTGGCCAAGGGTCTTGTGGACAAAGGCATCCTGCGCACCGAGAAACGAAACTTCCTCCTCTTCGATATGGCCACCCATCCCGTCGTCGACTCCGGTGCCAAAGATGAAATCCGCAAGCGCGTACGGAACGTCTGCTCCAACCGAACCGTCGTGCTTCCTCCTTCACAATTTCTCCCTGCCGAACTCGATTTCAGAATGCTGAGAACCATTAGCATGGTCTGTGCCGCGTATGCAGCCAACGTGCTAGAGAATGCGCTGGTGACAATGAGCCACGAAGCAAGAGAGAGGGCTTTTGCACAGGTAGACGAACTATTGGCCGAGTATTCACAATGGCCCTTTGCGAGGAGGACTGGCGGACAACAGGGCATTGGAGCAAACATTGGTCAAGTAATTGCAGAAGAGGTGGAGAAGAATAAGGACAAGGAGTTACAACTCGAGGTGAGTAGAATCCTTTGCACCATTCTGCACCGTTGTTGCAACTTTGACTCATCTGTGCCATCTAGGTTATTGCGGCTTGTTTGAGCGTTTTTACCAGGCTGGACTCTCTGCTATAAGATTGACAAAACAGGACACTTCGGGTGAGTGGGCGCGAGTGGGCGTTCGCGTTTCTCGCGATTCTCGTTGAAAAAGGAATGAGCCGGAAAAGGATACCTACAATGTTCGCATCTCTGATTCCACGGCCGCGTCGTTACTCGGCTCATTGGCTGGGTCTACAACCATGTTTGGGAAGTCATAATGCTGTCTACTTCTCGACGGCATCCATGAATATTTGATCATTATTCTCAGGCACTCGGAATGTCTCTTTCATACCGATGGACCCAATGCTCTGGCTTTCTTTGTTGGAGTTCGGAGGCCGTTGTCGTTACTCCTTTTTGACAGACTTCGCAAACAAGGGCATTCCTGCTGTTTGTAAGTCAGCTCATTATCTCTGCGGAACAGTACTTTACTATCAAAGCGACTATCGCCGCCATCAGCAAAGAACTGCGGTTTAGTATGTGGGTCCTCAGAACTCGTGCTTCGAACGACTGATGGATTAATGTCTTGCATCAACAAAGCTGATGGCTTGAGATTCTCCATAATGGGAGACAACCACTGTCTAAACGTTATATAAACACCGACTTCACTACCAGCAGAGTGTACTTTCCATCTCCTAATCCATTCATCAACGAAGAAAGTTCACTCCGAATTGCACGGTGCTCGGAGAGGTCCAGAAGTCAGTCTTTTTACCATACTGTACACAATTCCCAGTTTCAATACCAGTCATCTATATCGACTTGCCCATTTACATCAAACAAAGTCTGCAAAAATGTGCTATACCCGTTCCACTCTCCTTGTCTGTCCAGACTGCTGCTCCACCCGCCAGTCTGCTGACTATCCGGTGACCGACATGATTTGCTCTTCTTCAAATGCTTGTCGGGATCGCGACCGCCGCCCCCTGCCTCAGCGTGAATTAGAGATTGCCAGGCCATGCACACGTTGCCGCATTTCCCAAGAAAGTGGGTATTCTCGAGACAGTGGGTATTTCTATCGCTCAGGCACATATTCGGGGACCACCTATGGTTCGGCACAAAGTTGTCGACGCTCTAGACGATACTCTGACGCTTCTAGAGCATGGACGCTTGACTCTGAAAGCTCCTTAACTAATACCTCTGGCGCCAGTACTGTCAGGGATTGTCACGAGCGCTCAACCACGACGACTTCCACTGGATCCCGATATCGAAGTGACGCATCACATTACGACAGTCAAGAAGACAGGGCTCACGCCTACCACCAGGAACGCATAGGTTGGTTCCCGCTCCCTCCCCCTCCCCGCCTCTTCGCCTACTTTGAGGCTAGTGAAGCAGGCCGAAGTCGAGCACGAAGAGAGAGGGACAGCATCGGAACATTGTCCGACAGGTTTGGGAATCTGAGCACGTCATCCTCTTCCTTAGGTGCATCAACCCGGACAGCAGCCACAGACAACACCTCCCTCTATGACGAGTTTCTCTCATCAGCTACATCTGACATCCCCCTCTACAGGCTCCTCCGCCCACATGGTCTGAGCATTCGCGACCTCGTCGATATTGACGTTCGGTGTAATAATATTTTAAGAATACCCGAAGACGTGGCGGCGACTTTCCCGCCGGGACAGCTCGTGGAAGATGGCATCACCTTGTCTTGGAGAGTGTGTGAACATTGTTTAGCTGCAGAGGAACTATCGAGCAGGCATAGCAGAGCAACGAGAAGGCGACATCGCAGATAAAGGACGGGGGAGAGCCGGAGCTGGATCTCGAGGCAGCGACGGTGAGTGTTAGCTGGCCAAGGCAAGTTTTGTTCGGGTGAATGGTGGATTTTTCTTCTGGAATTGTGGTTCTTATGGCACTTGTCTCATGGACAACTGTGCATCTATCGATTCTGATCATCTGCTCACTATACAGGGTGCCGTCAGACCTGACCATCGTCTGCACACTGGGTTGATTTACTTCGACTACGTGCCGAGGCCCTTGCCACTCATATCCATAGTGATTTCTGTGACAATCCAAGAAAATGGAAGGTAGGATCTACGGACATCAATGCCAGCTTATGCATATGTAGGTACAAATCGGTTTTATGGTCACCATTTGAAGTGTACTAATACTCTACAATGGAAGCCTAATAGCCATGACAACAGATGCGCGTAGCAGAAGGACAAGAGTCTAACCGTGGGAGCTGTCAATCATGAGTTCCTTCACAAAGGGACGGCCATCGATTCGCTGACGAATAAGTTTGCGCGATACTTCGCTTCGGCCCTTGTCTTGATCGCGGCAGTGCTAGGGACCAAGACACTCGAGGTAAACCAAAGTCCGCGTGAGGAGGTTTGGGGATACGACACTGGGGTTTCTGGCAAGGTTCTATGGCCTTCCGAGGTTCATGAAAAGCAATGCCTACAACAGTCTCGAAAAAATCCTCGACAATACGCCTAGCTGGGTTGGAGCTGTGTTGGTCGAGCGTGGTGGTATTCCCCCAGAAAATATAAACGATGGCAGCCATTAAATGAATGAGCACAGGAGAATGTGTGCCTCCAAAAAAGGCGAGAAGGAGTCTTCCTCTTGCATCTTTCTCAAAGGTAGACAAACTATGGACTCATTGTAACCGCACAAAGAGTCGTTGCTGTCAAAGCCAAAAAACAAGTGTTTTCTTTCTCAGTGGCACAAACTGTCTATTGACCTTTGATTGATTGTTCTGTGAGAGAATGACCAGCTTTTCAACTAGTATAAAGCCTCTCCGTTCATGCAGGTCTTGCGTTCGAGCTCCATCAACCAAACAACAGACAGAACCTCACATTTTTCTATCACTGACTTGGGCAAAACGAGAAAAGTGCACACAAACACACATACACCCACAGGAACAAGCCAGAAAAAAAGGTAAGCCGATAAGAAATGTGTTACACCGTCGTCAAAAGATCCGTCTGTCCAGCCTGCTCTGGCCGAGCAGGCCTGGCCGACAGTGTCACGGTGGAAAAAACCTGTCCCCGGACGGCTCGGTGTCCGTACCGCACTCAGCGCGCTCTCCCTGTCCGTCCTCGCGAGGAACGGGTCTCGCGGTTCTGCGCTGCGTGTGTCCGAGCTCAAAATTGCCCCGAGCGTATCAACAACACACAGCCCAGGCTGCGCCAGGGTTTCGCTGGGATGAGCAGAGAGTGGGAGCATAGAAACGGGATCAGCCCGGCCTCGAGGCTGGGCGAAGCGTACCCGGGCAATGAGAATAGGGGCTTCTGGAAAGATGTCTTTGGCCTGCTGCGCCGATCTCTGTGTGGCTCCATCTCCGTCTCCGTCTCTTTCGCCGCGTTCTGAAGGAAAGCCTCCCGGTGCCTCGCCTGGCTGGAAAGGAGTAGGCGAACAAGTGAGGAGAAGTCAAAAAAGATGAACGGACCAGCTACACGTAACTCGGCAAAATTGAAGGAGAGGGAGAGAAAGAAGGGTATCACGTCCCGCAGATATTCTTCCCCCGGGTTCTCTACGCGGGCCTTCGACTCAAGAGAAGACAGCGAATCCTTCTACTGAACTCTGCGGTTAGGCATATGTTATGTATGGAACCACCTTGTTAAGTGATTTTACACTGCATACATGTAACAATGCCGAAGTCTAATATACATCTGTCTATTCTGTCACTGTGAGACACCAGATACTCAGAACCAATTCTACTACAGGTCTTGTCCAAGACAAGATTTTCCTTTTTGCGTGGTATGTGTATACGTGCATTGTCTCTTAGCTCGTTCACTCTGGGTCGTGCACGCGAATATTGATAATGGTATGTCTACCTGATTGGGCGCCGGTCGGGGCGACTGAGGCCGAGGCAGTGTTCACCCCTTCGCTCTGCCGCTCAAAGCGGTCGAGGCTCTCTTTGGACTCTTAAGAGGCGGCGGCGGGGGAGGAGGAGGAGAAGAAGGAGTGTTGACCCCGTCCCCTGCGTTGGCGCATAAGCCGCCCACATGGCTGCTGTCGGGTAAAGAGTTGGAGGGACGAAGGGTCTCCCCCCTTTTCCGCGAATGAGATGCTGTAGAAAGAAGTTGCTGAGGCAGAACAGCGGGGAGGAGCGGGAGCGGAGGTGGAAGATCCTTCTCAGACCCGCGCGGCATTTCTGCACCGGCGACAGAAGGGGCAGCGGTATGTGATCTTGACAGTTTTGATGGCTTGCGAGGTCTCGTCCGATCGAATATCGCCCTTGCAGACCGAGGATCTATGCTTTCGGAAGACGTACCAACGTGGCTGTACCTCCGCTGCTGGCGCATTGGATGCGGAAGGGTTTGTGGCGGAATTGTTAAAGAGTGAGTACTGGCTGAGGCGCTTTTCGTGGCTTCTGCGGATGGAAAAGACAGCGAGGCCGGTTTCAACTTGAAGGGAGGTATAAAAAGAGGCCGCAGGAAGTGCGGGCCCCTCATAGGCACGGGTTGTTCCTCGCAAGCAGGGACGGATACGCTGCGCAAGGTTGAAGCTGTCGAGCGCCGGTGGAAGAACGACGAGGCGAATGATTTCCGGCTCGGGGTCCTGGGCCTGGACTCGGGAGGCGTCACTGGGTTCATGCCCAGGGGATTGACTCGAAGGAATCTCAGAGATCTAGTCAGGGACTGTCGTGCCTTGGCGATCATGGGAGGCCGCGCAAAGGTTTCTTGGTAGTTCCATGCTGGATCACCGCCGAAGTTGGCTTCCGCCGCTGGAGAATCGGGCAGCACGTTGAACGGTTGGTTCCGAGGCCAAGGGGAATCGGGAGACTTAGATTGTTGGCGCCATGCAAGCCTGAGCAGCGACTTAGGATCTTCTCCCCTGCGCCGCTTAAAGAGCCAATACAGCAGCGACAGAATCAAAGAGAAACCAACTAGGCGATTGTTAGCATGAGACGTTGGACAATCACTGTCAGGGAGAGAGCGGCATACGAAGAGTCCCAATCGCAATACCCGCCGTTTGTCCTTGCGAAAGAGTACTATCAGATTCGGATGCGATGGTCCCATTTTGGCTTTGGTAGCCCCATGGGGTCTCAATCGCAGTGGCGCTTGTTGTATAGGCAAGGCTTGACGGGGATGTTGTCTTCGCTGTGGATGACGCCAACAGTGTCGTCTCAGTTGCGGATGACGACCTTGATGCTGTGCTGGCTAGGAACGATGTATCGGAGGCGGTTGAAGACAACGAAACGAGGCTGGTAGGATTGACCAAAGGCACTGTCGACACGAACGACGTACTGGACGAAAGGTTTTCTGTGATCGTAGTTGAAGTTACGGAGATCGAGGACGATATTGATTCTGAATCAGGCGGTGGAGTACTAGAGGTGAGCAAGGAGACCTCGCGAGTCGTCGTTGAGGCAGAGGCACTGGAGGTGATAACAAAGGACGATGTAATGATAGCAGGACCAGCCGAGCTTGAGAACACGGAAATGGAAGCCGGAGGAATAGAAGCACTCGGGGAAGCCTCAGGAGGATCGGGCGGTCCTTTTTGATTGCCTTCAGGTCCAGGGGGACCATTCTTGTTTCCCTTAAGGCCTGGTGCATCCGGATTTTGGGGTTCTCTCCTTCGAAGGGTGTTGTAGGAAGAATGGGGAATAGAGGCCCAGTAGCCACTTGGTAAAAGCATTGCTCCAGTGCCGCACCGTATAGCCTTTTGGTCGATACCTTTCCAAGGATATTCAAGAGTCCAGCTCTTTCTCGTCAAGTTTCTAGCATCCCAAGAAGAGGCAGGCCAGATCCAGCCCAGTCATAAATCCCCCAGGGAAAGAGAACAACGAAGGGAAATTGAAAGAATGAGAAAAGTAGGCGGTCGTAATCTGGAGCGTGCAGGCCAGTTACAATCAGACGACGCTTGAAGCAAGCAAAACAAAGCAGCGACGAGAGGAGGCACGCCTGCGGCCGAAGGAAACAAAACCACGGCTCTGAGCAGCCAGCATCAATATGCCACTATATCATACAACAAGAACATATCATGCTTGAGTTAAAAAGCCGTAATTCGAGTAGAAGGACAATTAAGCGTCAGGGTAGGACGGTGGAACGAGAGAAATATCCCGAGTACATTGCATGATCGTCGACTGCCGTTCCACAAGGGCTCCAATACACGTTGACTGGTGACATGCTTTCCACGAGGTGACCAGGTCATGGCGTCTGGAGAAACGGGGCGAGTGTTTCGAGTCGATGTTGAACATAACCATATATATGTATATGTCCAAGTGCACATGGAGTCCAAGGAGCAGTCCTCAAGTATAGACTCAGCCACACACGACTTGAGACGACGAAGCTTACCTTGCCGCACGATTATCGGTTCAGGTTGATGATATGCTCAGCTTGGTCATCTTTGGAAAAGGGAGAAGGCGTTCCCTGTGCTATCCTAGAAGTGGATTCTGCTGAAGAGAGCGAGGATGATCCCAGTGGTTAATCCTTGCTAGATCAACGTCCTGAAGGAAATTGTGAAACACGATAGACGTTTCTTCCGAGAGGCTTAGACGGGGCGGTGGAGATTGGAAACTCCTGCTGCTTTGTCGACAAACAGCGCAAAGGAGAAGCTGAAGCTCAGTTGTAGGGGTTTTCTACCGCGCCGTTTTATACCGTCTTCCTGGTTAGCCAGTTTAGTTCTTGGAAGCGAGGGGCATGAATTCCAGGATGATGCACGAGGTGATCAGCATCTGATGGCGCCAACTTGTCCGTGAGTTCGGTACGAGGCTTCCGAGATAGACGAGCGGTCCAGTAATAACAGGTAGACCTCCATTGAATCCTCTGACGGTACTTGGTAGGAACATGCCAGTAGTACAGTATGTATATGTGGGTGAGAGATGAGGCTGGGATATGGTTGTGTGAGAGATATAGTTCTGGGGGAAAAAAAAGCAAGGAATGGAATCTGAGACTTTGGCATGGTGAATCTTGTGGAAGGGTGCAAATCTATAAGTATAGTACAAAATGGAGATTTGTACAACACAGTTCTTGCCTGACCCAGCATCAAGTTGGCCAGTTAGAAGATCATCGCGACATACCGTTCTCCTATCCCTGGTATACTCAATATCAGGTTGCATCAGCACTCTCACTATCGCCTTTCTGCACATCCAAGGCGGCCATTTCCTCCAGAGCAGCCAGTTTATCCTGCAGCACGCTCGTGTCATACGTCGCCTGTCCTTCCGTTGCCGCCCTCAGTTTCCTCAATCTTTGCCCTTCCTTGCCTGCGTTGCCCAGCACACCACCGATGAGAGAAATGGATCGGAGGGAATCATCATTTGCGGGTATCGGATAGGTTACCCAGGTCGGGTTCGCATCTGTGTCAATGACTCCAATGGTAGGTACATTGAATATCCCACATTCATGCAGGCAAACTTGATTTTCGATCGGGTTCATACAAATCACGAGATCTGGGCGCATGACCTGATGGTAGCCTCTCGACAAGATATCGTCGTATTGAGGTATTTCATTGTCGTGAACGTCGACCACTTTGACGCCACAATCTCCAAGGATTTGCTGCCCGTTCGTCAGAGCACCCGGGACCCATCGGTGGAAGATGTGGTAGCCTTCCGCCAATCTTGCAGAGTTGACAATTATATCCTCCATGCCCTTGCGCGTCCCAATGAAGAGGATGATACCGCCTCGTTCTGCCACTGCTTGGACCACTTTTGCCGCACGCTTTAGGTATGCGTAGGTAATATCTAATGAGATGATGTGAATTCCGTCTCTTATGCCGAATATATAGCCACTATTCGAGGGGTTCCAGAGCGACGTATGGTGACCGAGATGGGTCTGATTGGCAAGCAACATAGGCAGAGTGAGGTCCTCCACTGTGGGAGGTCTGCGAAGAATCGTGGATGGATCGTATGTTTGTGATAGATGTGTTCCTTGACGAGCGGCTCTCTGCATTGCGCGACGGTGACGATTTAACTCTTTCAGATTCCGAAACGGCAGAGCATCTTTAGCGGATGTAGGAGGTGTAATGCTTGATATTGAGCTTGACCCAGGTTTTGTAGCTTTTCGAGCAGCAGAGTGTGCGTTGAGGTCTGCTTGAAGAGAACGAATGGATTTGTGCTGTGACTCGACCATTTCTTCTAACAGCCTGGTCGCGGCTGTTGGAGCGCGATCGATCGTGTCAAGAATATTTGAGGGATCATCGGGATGGCCCGGTATCCGGGTCGTCCCTTTAGCATCTCGTTCTGATGGTCGAAATGTAGGATTGTCTGTCGAGATGCTTGTTGCGTATGCTCGATTAAGTGTCCGCGATGACTGCGCCAGCACTGTCCGCCCTGGATATCATTAGAAAAGTCGACGTCAACCAATCTCCAGCTGTACATACCATGCCGGGCGCAAAACTGTCTGACGATCATTGCTTGCTGGTTTCTGACAGCAAACTAAATAGAGCGCATTGAGAAGTTTCCCTCTGTTCCAATGAAGCTGCTGTAGGCTTGGGCTTGGCGCAAAAAGGCGACGATGCAAACAAGACAAACACAGCAAACACAGCAAACACAGCAAACACAGCAAACACAGCAAACACAGCAAACACAGCAAACATTAGGACGGTTGCGGCTACCAGGCTATCCACCAGCCTGTTATGAGTTGCTCGCATCTTTCCATTTTTCCTATGCTCTAGTTATGCTGTGTTTCAGACGCTCGCCATGATATGTGACCAAATGATCTGAGGCCAGGAGCACAGCGATCTTCACAGCCACGGAGGTAGGCGCTTCACAATGGATGCTTACTGCCTGCAAGCAGCCACCGGAGCGACTCAGCTTCAAACACGAACAAGCCCCCTTTAGACGGTAGATTCGGAAAACATCCTTTCCGCTGCACGATCCCGCCAACACGAAACGCATCCTCCAGCAATTCAACGCTCTTCACGGCTTATTGCATTCACTCAACATATACAAACTGATGTAGTCTTGGTTCTCTACTGGACGCTATGTTTGGCGTTTGTTTGATATCTCGGATAGGCACCAGTGCCAAGGTCCGGAGCGGAGGCAGTAGAACTTCATAAAGTCGGAAAAGAAAACTGAGCCCTGCTCAACTTCGTCTTGCTAATCTCCAGCTTCTTTAGCATCAACAACCTCCGGGCTGCAGCTAGACCATGGACAGTTCAGTCATGGAAGCGGTGAGCACCCCTTGGCAGCTGAGTCTCTCTCCCCCGAAACTAAAGACAGAATAGGATCGACCACGTCGCAACTTCAATCCAAGGAAGACCAGACGGTATGGGCGACAAACCTTTGACCCCGATTACCTAGTCAAGTACAGCCCCAAATGGAAATACTCACGTCTCTACAACTTCCCGTACCCCGGTGCCCATTGGCAACCACGGATGCGAACCATGGTGATTTCCGTCGATGGGGGATCTCGCGGCAACAACCGCAATGACCCCAAATCTCGCGCTGCTTACGGCGTCTTCTTCGGACCAAACTGTCCTCGCAACACTCACGGGTTGGTGTCTCCGAGTGCACCGCAAACGAGTTCCCGTGCCGAACTTGAGGCCGTCCGTAAAGCTCTTGAGATTGTCCAGGGCATGAAACATGCAGGCGAGATCGATGGCTGGCGCGAGATCATCATCAAGCTGGACTCTGACTATGTGACCAGAAGCCTTGGTGAATACATCTGGACCTGGGAGAGGAACGGCTTCATGACCAGAAAGGGGACGCCTGTGGAACATGGTGACCTGATTCGCGAGATGCACGGCACCATCACACAACTGGAGCGTGATGGAGCGGTGCGATTTTGGAGGATTGGGCGTGAGTGGAATCGAGAAGCCGACGCGTTGGTGAACCAGGCCCTGGATGTAAGTCTCCTCGAAAATCACTACCTGCTAGAATCCTTCCCAGACCCTCCATCCCGGATGCAGCTTTGACATGCTCACGACAATACAGGATGCTGCTGACAGTGGCTATGAGGAATCCTGATGAGAGGGACCCGGTTTGGTTGCCGCGACGCAGGAGGTGGGCATTCGAAGGGTGGTTGGCTTGCCTTTTCGAGTTTGTTATGCAGAGGGCACATGCATCGCGCTCCCGGGATCTTGTGGCATGCTGGGATTGTAAGAGATAGTTGTACTGGTAGTGTCGGGGCAGAAGGAGGTTGTTTGCATTGCTTTGCTAGTTTAGTTTGTGTGTATCTGCGTAATCTTGTCTTGCATATGTGTCCTAGATAGGTATTATTGATGGCTTGGTGCCGATTTTAAAATCCCCATCTCCTTGTCCTATGTACTAGTTCAGAGTCGAGGAGGTTGTGAGATCTTTTGGTTGAATTGACAAAGATTGCTTCTGAGATTAGACTAATGTTCCTGGTTTAACAAATGCAGCAAGTGTCCTCCTAGGTGCTTAGACGATCCAAGACAGGATGATCGAATGGAACACCGAAACGTATGAAGGCCAAAGACGCGTCACCTCTCTTCCTCCCCTAGCCTCGCCATCACATCTTCGGCACGTCTCTCTCCCTCTGATCCATCGAACCCTTCTCAGTGTCCCGAGCATGCATCACTGGGATGGCTCCCTAGGCTTCCTTCAGTCCTAGATGGCCATTACCCTCATCATTCACTCTATCTCAGCGCCAATTAAGAGGTCTTGGTTTCACAGTTATGACTGGTACTTACCACCTCCTGTACCGCGGAAAGGTGCCTTTTTCACAGGACAAAATGACTACCCAAGTTTCTGGTTAGTATTCATTTATAAATAGAGATTTGTCGACTTGCCCTGTCCCTTCGAAGTTCGCTTTGCAGCGCAATCTTCCTCAGACTTCGTCATCTCAGATACGACACTATGTCAGTACCTGGTCACGCATATTCTGTGCTATCTAACACATGGCCCTGGATACCCGAAACCTCTTTTTTTGCCTTCGCGATTTGCGACTCGCTGCGTACCTCTCTGAGAGCCATGGCACCCCAACTATGTCAGAGCCGATACATAATCTATCTACCTATTTTCAGAATATTTTTTCTATTTCTTTTTGAAGCTTCCTTCATGGTTTGTATGAATTGAAAGTGCACAAGTCAGAACAGAAAAGTGGACCCAACAAGGAAGTTAACCGTTTTCGCTGAAATGATATTGCTTGTCAATGCGTTGCAAATGGCCTACAACATGGGAGCTCGCTGTAGTGAAATGAAGGGACGCAGGGTCGTCATACTTGAGAGTCGTGAGACATCCTCAGAATCTTGTACCACGGAGGCAGACATTCACTAGCGGGGATTCACTCACTGGTGAAGGAAAAGAGAGAACAGACAGTAAAGCGAAGATGTCGTCTTTGTTTAGACAGGCCGTTGCACAGGCAACCGCCAAGCCTTATTCTCCACTCGTGTCATTTCCACTTTCGCACTAGCTTGCATTTGCCCAAGTGCCAGCTACTGGGTCCCGAGTTACCTCGTACCTAATACTTGCGTGTAGTCTTTTGCTCGTATGTAGGTACATACATAGCGCCTCTATTGTCCTCCCTTTCTGCTCTGTTCGAAGCTCAATCCAAGGTCGCGTCCCAGATACATTGATGGGACGATCGGTGCCTGACATTGGTTGATCAGTCTTGCGCAGCCTCTTCCTCATCAGAGGTCACACGTCAACATTCCCACATAGGGTTTCGCGATGAGGACCTATTGCGGTCATATGTTTTGGACGAACCGTTCCCAACATCAACTATGAGTGCAGGCTCTCTTCTATATCTCTATCTGAGTCATGAACGTCTCGATTAGTATCAAAGACTACTTACCTCTTCAGTGCGTGATCGTATCTCTATATATATATATCTAGATTCATCAGAGGACATCGTCTCAGAGGCGGAGGTCGCGAGATGGCAACGATTATTTGGCTATGCGAAGGCAGAGGCCGTTCGCCGGATCCAAGAAGACCGGAGCGACCATTCTAGAACTAGGATATCTGACGAGCTCTGGACCACAGTCAGAATCCGAAAGGAAGCCGAAGGATACGACCGCGACACATACGAATATTCCCTCAAAAGTCAACACCATCAACATGAATGAGCTCATAGCCTAACTACCGCCCCAGAAGTGTTAGGCACTTTCATCGTGCAGCTGACGGGACCCTTGGATTCACCGGAGAAGATCAAGGATGCTGTTGGCTCAAAGGAGGCCCCACCGATCACAGAAGATGCAGGTGAATACCGTCAAGCGCATTTCTGGCAGATCGATGTTGCAACGAGGGCAAAAATGCTGGACTGGGTCGCTGAGCACCGTGGCAGCTTCCAACCTAGTATTGTGCGCCTGACGAAGGCAAGAGTCTCTGCACACAGAGCAAAACTTCAACTCTTGCACTGGATCTGACAATGCCTCAAAACCGCCGACACGACGAAAAGGACATCGCTCGGCCTTTACAGGACGAATATCCAGTGTGGTATTTCTTTTACGGCACCCTCAGCGACCCAGAAGTCCTCAAACACCATCCCAACTCGGACACAGAACCCTCTCTCATCCCGGCTCATATCGAGGGGGGTGATGTTCGACTCTGGGCAGGAAAAATACAAGGCCCTAGTGAATTCAACAGGATCAGCAAAGGTGTTTGGAAGCGCGTTTCTCGTCCAGTCCGGAGAAGAGGAGGACGCGTTGAGATTTTACGAGACGGACAAGTATGAGGCTGTGCGACGCTGCATTTTCACGGACGATGGGAATTTCAGAGGGCTGGCTTTGTGGTTTGATGGGCTACCGGGAGGATCTAGCATAGGTAGTGTAGATATCCCCGACCTCAGTCCTTAGATATCAAGGGAGCAAGCAAGTCGGATTCAAAAAATAAGTGGCACAATCTGACACAAAATATATACCTCGAGAGTTCTCAATGACGTCGAAGCGGCCGCTATATAGGATATCATTAACGGTACCTCGTGTAGGATGAATGACAGAGTATCACTGTTACTAAAGATAGCCAACATACTTAATGTGAATGAAGGGGACCTTCGATCTAACAACGAATCACTCCACTCTTGTCAGACTGAGCTACTTATTTTTGAATGTGGTTTGCAAGATCTCCAAAATAAACGGCGGTCAGGTGACCAGGGAAGTGATTTGGGTGATTTTCTCGGTGGAGCATCAGCCCCTGAATGCCAAGCCGCTAGACTATTTTGCACGGTTTCTTGTTGCTTGGCATCCAGTCCGCCATTTCTTGTTGTCTTGTCTTCTCCTTGGTGCCTCTTCTCCCTCCTTGCTGGGCCAAACAATGTTTTCCTCTGTCAGGTACGAAGTATCTCGTAGGGGGTAGACGAGAGGTTGGTCCCGTACTCAGTCTCTCGCTTCTCTCTGTTCTTGGTTGCCCCCCACCTCCCACCCCTCGGCGGCCAGGCGAGGGTTGCACACGGCCTCGCCATCATTGGTCCCGCCTCGTCTGCCCCAGCATCGCCCAGCCTGACTTCGAAACACGCGGTGACAGCTGTCTCGTGAGCATCTGAGCAATGCAATTTCACCTGGAGTCTTGGAATATGTCCGTCTTTCAAGGTTTGGCATGGGGGAGCGCAGAGCTTAGGCATGAACACCTAACTAGCCGGCTCTTCTTTTCTTGCTGCCCGCCTGTCAGGAACCAGTGGACTGATATCAAGTGGTACCTTTGGCCAGGGTCACCAGTCCGTCAGTCTGGATGTGAAGTTGCACGCTTGGCTCTCCAATCCAAGTACCGAATACATATCCCCATGCTCAAGTCCCTGTGTGCCGGTTTACTTCTCAGTTTCCCAGCCCGGCCAATTCTAAACAGCTTCTGTTGTTTTGATTCTTCCACAACCTTTTAAAGTTGTCTTTCTTTCTCAATTGCCCGGCACAACTACACCTGGGCGTCCTCTCCTTTTGCCCTTTTGTTCTTCCTTTCGAAAGGCGACCCTTTTCTGCCAAAAGTTCCGCTCCATCCTCCAAAACACCTTTCGCTTTCATCCCCAGCCACGCACAAAATCCTTCACAGAAGTCACCACTATGCGCTCATTCTTCTTGGTGGTGGGCGCCCTTCCCCTCCTGGCTTCTGCCTGGTCAGAACACTCTCTCTTGACCCGGGCGACCGGAAACGCAACCGAATGCGACACGGGCGACAAGGTGTGCGGTGTCTTCTGCATCCCGAGTGACTATACCTGCTGTCCCGATCTCGAAGGTGGTTGCCCATCGAAGTCAGTCTGCCAGAAAGGCGATAACGGCGTGTACGGGTGTTGCCCGGTTGGGGACACCTGCACAGGCGATGGCGGTGCAGAATTCCTCGATGGCGACGGTTCGGCCAGCAGCACTTCAACTAGCACCGCTGATGCCTCAGTTGCATCCAAGACGACTTCGGCCACCAACGCTGCCCAGCCTCTCGTTATGGCTCAAGGATTGACGGCTGCACTCGTCGCCGCCGGTGTTGCCGCTCTCCTATGATAACACTCGACCACTCAGGCGTGCACCATCTCATCATTTGAACTCAGAATCCAACGCGCGGAGTCATTGCAAATTTACGAAGAGGAAATTGGGGAAATGTCAATTGTGGGGGGTTGATGTTGAATTGGTTCTTGCAGGGATTGTCTTCATATTTGGATTTATTGATATCCCCATGACTGCATAATTCGCGATTCGCACCATCACCGTTCGAGCTTTGAATACATACCGCTGTCCATCTCAAGTCTGCCAGGCGGGCAATTACTTTCTCTTCTCTCACCCGTCTCACTGTTCCACTGTCTATCTTCCTTGCATCTTTTCTTTCTCAAAAGACCCTATAAATCCCAGTCCGTCTCGCCAACGAGTTGCAGAGCATCAAGTACAGTGGAGGTACAGAGCAAGAGCGGAAGCAAGACCCAGGACACGCCAGAGCCAAGGACGAGCACAGGTCGTCTTGGGCCCGTCACGCGCGCTTCCAGTGGACGGGGCATCTGTGGAGGATTGAAGTCCCAATGGAGGCCTATGGACGGAGTAGTCCCTCGAGAAGACTGGCTACATCTGCCTCCTCAGGCTCCGCCAGACTGTTTCATGACCACGGGGCACGGCGCGGCTCCAGCTTTTTTTATATCTTGCAATACTACCCATTGCCTCTGCTCCTCCGCCCTTTCGTCCGCTCCTGCATATGTATCTCCCTCCCCGCCCCGTGTCCTGTCTCTGACAGTAAGTCGTGCGCCCACTCTACTGTACATGTCCGTATGTATGCGCCGAGTGAAAGCGATCTGAGAGAGACGAAGAGAGAACACCACCCGAATTCCTGACGACTGGGACGCCCGCGCCACAGCTGTGATTCTGCAATATGGCCCGTTGCTCACCTTATGCATGAAGAATGAGATATAGGAAGAGATAGACCCGGACCATTGAAAGAGGATAGGGATCCGAACCTTGTTTCGGAGCAAGAAGAAATACGGAGTAATGTGCAGCTGGTGGTCTTATGCACGGGGAGAACTACTCCATACTCGCTTACGGCCCGATTTCATCCTTGATGGAGCTTCTCCGTTCATTCCCCACGTTTTGGGGTTGTGCATGTGTACCCATGTTAGGAACTGCTCCATGCCTCCACGACTCGGTAACATGTATTGTGACCAAAGGAACGTGTGGAGAATCCACAGTGCTTTATCCGAGGTCCAATACTGGCTGCAATCGGCGCCCGCACTGGCAGTGGCTCTGTTTCGTCAGGACATGGCAAGTAATAGCTTCTGAATTGGCGGGTTCCATTCAACTGCCGGTCGGCTCCAGGGCTGTTCCCTTTCGGAAAAAAAAAAGGGACAAACAACAAAACGCTCCTCCAGCGGTCACCTTGCTTTGTCACGGAATACTACTGAGACAGTGCAGGAAAAATGTCGTCCATGAGAGCAGCTCGCTTCTACGGCAACAGGGACATTCGCGTCGAAGACGTACCTGTCCCTGAGCCAGGTCCAGGGGAATGTCTTGTCGAGGTCGAGTGGTGCGGAATCTGCGGGAGTGATCTTCACGAGTATGCCGCCGGTATGTATGGGTGCTGTTGTTCATCCATCCCCTGTAGACGAATACAACTGTTTGCCAAGTCCACGATCAGAACGAACTCGGACTGAAGACGAGAAACAAATTGCAGGTCCCGTGTTGATGCGCACGACCGATCCAGAGACCGGCAAGCCCAGGCCGATCATCTTCGGCCACGAGTTCTGCGGCCGGCTCAAATCCGTCCCCGAGGGATCGAAACTGCAAGTCGGTCAGGCCGTCATGGTCGACCCTCACTGTATATGTCGGACTTGCCTTTGCTGCACCGCAGGGAATGATCACATTTGCCAGAAACTCGGCTTCTTGGGCGGAAGCAGTGGCAAGGGCGGCGGTCTCTCCGAGTACGCTACCGTCGAAGAGGCCCATTGTCTTCCGTTGCCCGAGAATGTAAGCTTGGAGAACGCCGCGGTGATTGAGCCCTTGGTCGTCTGTCACCACGCGGCCAAGGCGTCCGGGTTGAACTTGGCAGGGTTGGACGTGTTGATTCTCGGAGGAGGACCCGTTGGTGCTGCCTTGATCTCCGTCCTGAGAGCTCACCGAGTCGGGAAGATCATCCTGAGCGAGCCCACGGCCAAGAGGAAGGAGCAAGCCAAGGACGTGGTCGACAGGGTCATCGACCCGAGAACGGAGAAGGTAGGAGACGTGTGTCGAGAGCTGACGGGCGGTAAAGGCGTCGACGTCGTGTTTGACTGTGCCGGCGTTCAACCCGCGCTGGAAGCTGGCTTTGACGCGATAAAGTCGACGGGCACGTTTGTCAATGTCGCCGTGTGGGAGAAACCAGTGAGTTTGAATTTTATTTCACCCGTGCATACAAAAAGGATTGAGATCGGGCCATTAAACCGTATTGTCATTGCAGATCCAGATCCAGTTCCTGCCGTTCTTCTTCAAGGAGGTCAAGATCATGAGCTCGTGCTGCTACAATGAGCAGGATTTCAAGGAAGTCATGGAGTTGATGGCCAAAGGCAAGTATCCCAAGTATCCTCCCCTCATACAAATACACATATCCCATTCCCCTCCTCCCGTGCCACTGAACAATCAACTTACGCCCCTCATTTTCCCATCTAGGTTCATTCACGGGCTATGAGAAGATGGTGACCAGCCGCATCTCCCTGGAAGACACTGGCCCGAAGGGCTTCGAGGAACTGGTCAACAACAAAGACGACCAGATCAAGATCCTGATCTCGCCCAAGATAAATAAATGACAGAGAGAGAATGTGTGTGAGACATCTTATCGTATATATACTCTCTATACATACCTAGGTAGATAGTTGACTTATACGTAGATTTTGGACCTTAAGACGCTCAGGTATCTGCATGGTATAGCATGCACTTCCATGGCGTGGTTGTCGTGGATGGATTGCAGAAGAATTCGAGGTACGCTAGCCTCGGCCCTCCCCCTTCCAGGGAGAGTAAGACTAGATCACTCTGGTTACAGTCCAGGGTCTTGGTATTGACTATTGAAGAAGCAAGACACATGTTTATCGTATCACACACGACGTACCGACATGGCCAGGAATATAAGGGGAAGGTGGAAATATCCAGCTGGCTCTTCTCAATTAATGATTTTCTTTTCAGTATTCTGGTGTCGTTCCGGTCGAGCATCTATAATCCTGTCAGTCTCGTCTAACCAAGCCATCCAGAAATCATCACGGTCTCGTTCGGACGGCGTGGGTGGCAAGGACGTCATTCCTTTCTCAAATACTCGCCCGTCTCGGCGCCATCGCCCTCAACATCTTCTTCCCCTCGTCACTCGCACCCACCCATGCATCAATGATGCCATTCAACTTCCCTTCATTCCTTAATCTCGCAAGAAATTCCTTTGCGTAACTATACCCGACCTCGTATATCTCATCAAATTTCGCGAACTCCAACGTCCCATAGGCTTCAATGGGAGGGCGCATGTATATACAACCCGGCGTAGCTTTTGCGCGTTCGAGCGCGTCGACCGAGGAAACATATGCGAGACGAGCCTGGATGTCGGACAACGTAGGGGGATTGGGTATCGAAGAGAAAGGGTTCCATCGGTTGAGAAGGGACCAGAAGCCGGAGAGGGTGTCTCCGTATTGTTGCGGAGTATCATCGTCCACGGCGCCGACGTCGACTGCGAATACGAGATCTGTTCCAAGAGATTTCATGTGTTGGACGGTCAGGTTGTCGATATATCCACCGTCGAGGAGCATGCTGCCTTCATCGCAGATCGGCGGGATCAGACCGGCGAGGGACATACTTGCCCTCACATACCTCCATGCATAGCCCGACGTGTGGATCTCGGCACGAGATTTGCTGATGTTTGTCGTATTGCAGTAAAAAGGCAACCAGAAGTCTTCGATCTGCGAATCCCCGAAGGCCTTGAACATGCCACGGTTGAACTCGTGACCGGTGGTATATGCGGCCGAGGGGTAGGTTAGATCCAGTGCGAACCGCCACATACTGCCCATCCGCCCGGCAAATTTCTTCGCGCGTCCGTACATAGGCACAACGTCCGCGTCGCGAGCATAGAGTGCTCCCAAGAATGCACCAATCGAAGTACCCCCAACGATGTCGATGGGTATGCCTGCCTCTTCTAGAGCTTTGATGACTCCAATATGTGAAATGCCGCGCGCGCCGCCTCCACCAAGGACCAACCCAACTGATTTGCCGCAGAGTCGTCTCGCAAGTCGATGCAGGTCGCCTTTGAAAGGAGTGTCAGCTGAATATAGTGGAGCTTGGCGGACTCGGCGAGAGGTGTACTTCTGTATCTCTGCCTGAATGACTTGGACGCTTTGCTTGATTGCTGAACCAAACTTTCGGGGCGGAGCATGAGGTGTAGCCTCTGGGCTCACACGAAATGCCATCTGGATATGATGGTGACCACCGTTGATCCACATTCGATTACTCATCCATTTCCTGGTCAAGCCCGGTTGCGAATATCGGTCGACGTGGAGTAGGACAAGGTCCTTCCGGGCTGTTGTTTTCATTCCTAGAAGGAATCGCTCGTACTCACCAATGCTTGGTGAGCTCTCAGCCAAGCCAACCAGCAGAATGCAGTCTGCTTGGGAGATACAAGTTTGGGTCCAAGGGGCATTTACATTGGTATCTGCAATGTACAGCACCATTCCGTATTTCTCTTCGAGATCGGCAAGGTACTGTGATAGTTTTAGACGACCCATGCGATTGAAGGCGTGTCGGCCGAGATGGCTGAGGATGATGGCTTGGTTCAGCAGCGTAACACCATTCGGCACCCCGGTCTGGCTCAACGCTGCCAGCAACCGGTTCCCAAATTCAACGACTGGAACTCCGGCTGTGACAGGTAGCACTGCTATCGTTCGGAGATTCAGGGTAGATGTGCTCGAGTCACTCAACGCTGCTCTCTTCCTCTCTTGACCCTTTTCTGTCAACGGAGCTTCTATCAGCGCTCGCATACGCTGTGCGATCAACTTCGAGATCTGAATGGTGATGTTGGGGTG